GTGAGTGAGCCGGTGCCATAAACCTGTGCTCCGGCACTACAATTCGCTCCCGTAGAGGATTGAACTCAGACCGAAGGGTGCCACCCAGATTACTTGACCAGCCAGTCTAACATCTGTTGGCGTCATGATTAAACTTGTAAATTAAAGCTCCTAAAAGACGGTTGTTTTTTGGAATAAATGACAACGTTGCCAGTTAAAGTGGTCCCTATGATGGTTCTATACTAGAGGAATTGGTGTGAGCGATTTATATTTAGTAATAAATTAATTTCAGGTATATGACCTTACATGCATGCAGCTGGATATAAATCAGCCCGTGGTTCATGTGGATAATCATTCGTGACTAAAATAGATTGTGTAATGCCATTCGAAATGTGGGCTGTCCTGATTATATATATTGTAAAAAAAGGTTAAAAAGCGGATACGGATCTAGATTATTACTACACAAACTAGTATAGTACCCGTGCTAACGCCACGTCTTCATTTAGGAATGCACATGAATCTCAATAAAATGCTAAAAAATCGAGAGATCATTACGCTTGTTCCTAATGCAGCAGAATGCAAAAACTATCTAAATAGGCAACATGCATATCTTCAGAGTTTAATTAGCCAACTGTTACAGATAAAGATCTAATTAAATAAATCCAATATTGATTTGTAAAATTCAAGATATATCAAGTATATGATCTCATCATTAAATGGCCAATAACAAGACTTATAATACAACAAAATGAATAGCGTAGCACGGTGGTCGATTCTTTCAGTTGTCACAGGTTCAACTCCTTCACAGTTAGAGAAGCTTTCACTGATGAAACTGAAGAAAGCTTCAGAATACAAACAAATGAAATTTCATAGAGCCATTTTATGATCCTAACAGTGTTTGAGTAATTTAAAAGTTGCACACTGCCCACGGTTCTCGTAATTTTGTATTGTGATGAAACAGAAAGAATAAAGATGATCACACCCCCATGGCATGTGTCCACGCAAATCAGTATTTGCAAAATGTGACAAGAATACAAGAGCACAGAATGGACTGGACATAATATAAACTTATAAAGTATCTGCCGAATGCGACCAGAATATAGACCTTAGCTTGTTCTAGTGATTCATGTCCTTCCATTGCTTTCGGCATTGATGTATGGCTTCTGCTATGCTGGACTTTCGGTTCTCTCTATTTTTCTAGAGTTCAGATACCACGTAGCTGTCGCTAGCATTAGCTACGGCCTTGTACACCTCGCCTCGCCAAGTTGTTCCTTTAAGCCCACCAGCTTCTCATCCTTGTCATCGATGATTAGCTGAAACATAACACATCCGGCGATATTAAAGCATAAGGAACTGTGAGAAATACAATTTAGACCCTAATGGTTATAACCAAGAACTCATCCATAGTCAGGTACAAACTTGACAACAAACTGCCACACCTATCTGCTGACACAATTAAATAAGAGCTTTTTTTGTTTCTCATTCCCAAATGTCAAACAAATTTCCATGCACCAACCAAATGCAAGATAGAAAACAGAATTGAACAATCCATGTTCGTTTCAGACTCCAGATTGGATCATATAGAAATTCTCATCTTTCCAAAACTCCTAATAACACATTAACAGAAACAAAGTATTGAAATAAGCTCTAACTATGCATTGTTCTAGGAATCTACATCTGGACCTATGCATATGTACAGAACAGAGACCCCTTCCATCAAAAGGAAAAAAATCTTGTTCATGCATGGATGTGCCGCCATGCTGGTATTGCAACATTTTGTTTACTGTGAATGAAACACTTTAAAAAAAATTGTACCAAATTTGCCACATTACGAACTTTAAATGCTTCCCCAGGCTGAAACCCCAAAACAACGGCAGGGCAGACCCTGGAGTCAGCACAAGCAACCACCATGAACTGCACACAAGAACAGAAAACCAAAAGTAATCCCATAAGGCTCATAATGCCAATATTAAAATGATTTGCTATCGAAGTCATTCTCATGTACCTTTGGTGTTTGCCGCTGAGCAAGACTTTGGTAATTTGAAATTTTCTCCCTGTCCGTAGTTCCAGATGTAGCAATGTCAACAAATAAAAAAACAACTATGAAATATTAAGGTGAATGATATGTTTTGTACATCATGATCCACTTACACATAGTTTCTCTGTTTGAAGTCCATGAATCTTGCTTTCAAATCCATGAATGGATCGTATTCTGCACCTACCTCATCTATTGTATCATGTTGAAAATCCAGAAGTTGTAAGGTCAAGCTAGTGTGATCTCTCGAGGCCATTGTGACTCTCTCCTGTAGAAGAAAATCTTATTAAATTATTTTCTGCCCAAATATATTAAGAATTGGGTGGACTGGAGGCCACAGGACAACAAATTACTAACAAAGATAAGCATGTTGATTGAACCAAACATCCTGCAGGAGCAAATTTCACAGCAAATTGAGAGGCGAGGATCCAGGGGGCGACCTGGGTCATGGCCGTTGCGGCACCGGACTGGTACTGTTGTTTCTGTTGCAGAGCCTACTGCATCAGGAGTGCCTAATGCTGCCGCCGGTGCCTCTGCTGCTACTGGTGGTGGCTCCCCCCGGCGCCGTTCATCTCCTCCGGCGTAAGGACAGATGGATCTTACCTGTGTAAGAAATGAAATTCAAATCTTAAAGAAATCAAGAATCGTAATCTTTGGTTACCCCCGACAGGATCCCATCAGCGATCTGCCAGAATGTGCACCGGAACAATCGAATCAAATCAGCAATGAACCAAGCAAAAAAAAAGATTTACCTATATCAGAGCAGATAGTCTGATATCTAAGCGGCACAAGATGAACATAAAAAAATATATATCTTTTGTTAATCAGCATTCCAACTGTCAATAAAAATCTTGCACTCATATTCTAATTGGACAAAACAATGTAGACTTAGAACATAAGCATTTACCAGGGACGTTGCACACACCGAGAGAATAATTCTTTATATATCTAGGAAAAAAAGTAAAAAGAAGATCGAATGTATTTGGAAAAAAGAAGAAGGATCACCTCTAAACCAAAAGGCAGTATCTTTGGCACGTATGCCTCCTCACCTCTGTATTTGGAGAGTCTGGAGAGTCGGAGCTGGAAGGTGACCCACACAGTGCGGTTGACAGAGCTACCATCCGTGCTGATGACTTAGGGCTCCACCTCCACATCATCATGGTCCAGCAGAACATTGACACTATCAGCACTACTATCTTCGTAAACGTGATCATACCAACCACAACAACACATCGGCATTATCTGAAAGTATCTCCAATCACAAAAGGACAAGATCAAATATTTTTGTCAGGCAACATTAAGAGAAATATATTAACCTCACCATTCATCTTTACTACCAAGTAAAAGCATACTCTCATAAATCTCTACCACCATATTTCAAGACAATCAAATCTAAAGAAAATCTGATAATCGAAATATAACTTTGACTTTTCCATCTTTGAATAACACTGCTTACATAGCCATGAACAGTATCCCTCAAAAATTTGAATCATGAAGAGTTTGCTTTTGTGGATATCACGATTGAACTGCTCAAGGTTTTAAACAAATAAAACACATATACCAAAAAAAGATGCCACATATAGCAAGGCAGAAACATTCAGGTCTGAATTTCTACTTACCTACACATAAATCATTAGATATGACAAAACAACCAAAAGGCAATGCACTTCTACTTACCTACACAAAAATCATCTACAGGCAAGCATCTGACCCAATTCTAAATCACATACCTCCAAGATGTAGATAGGATTGAAACTCCTCTTCTCAGTGGAATATCATCGAACACCTACGTTGCATCCAAAAGCAAAACATGATTAATTTAAACATGACTGTCTGCAATTGCTACCAGCTCAAATTGGATGAAATGCTAGATCCAACGTACATCCAGAGAGGGAGATAGAGAGTGGATCTCAAAGCCAGAGATCGTGGAGGCCAGCGACGTTGGGGAACTCAGCCGTGGAACTAGCCTCCTACATCACAACCACTCCGCCGTGGAGCTTGCGCGTGCGGGTGCGCCGCCATAGCTGAAGGCGCCCACCATCGGGGCTCGCTGCGCCGACGCGACACCCGGTGGCCCTTGCCGTCACCCCCGCCGTGCAGCCATGGGGGTTGAGGCGGAGGAGTGCGCCGCGCGGAGGGCCGGTGACCGCCGACGGCCAGTCGACCAGTACTGCGCTGTCACCCTGCTCGGTCAGGCTCGGCCGCATGGTCAGGAGAGAGAGAATGAGAGGAAGGAGAGGCGCAAGCGCCGGGAGCGCCAGGCCGGCGGCGGCGTGGGGGCGAGCCAGCCGGCTGCCGCTGCGATGGGGCAGGAGGAGGGAGTCGCGCGATGCGATGGGGCAGGGAGGGGAGATGAGGAGTCGGCGTGCGGATCGGGCCTCGCGCTTCGCCCCGATGTAGGGCAGACACACTAAACATGAGCCGTCGAATTTAGATGAGTAATGAGAGAGAATGGCTAAGAGATAATCTGGTACATCCGTTTTGATGATGTTATATTTTCTGGGTGCATTCATATGTATGGATGTAGCATAGGTCATGACTGTAGAGCATGTATTTGTTGTGTGGCTGTAGACTGATGTATTATTATAGGGGTGGGGTAGATTAAGGAGTATCCATGCTCCTATTCCGTTGCATTCGATGAGCAAAGGGGGGAAATCCATTATAACATCATACATGGGCTAAATTGTGACACCAAAGTACTAGAAGTAGAAGAGACAACCGATCGGATTCCGATCCGAGAGAATCGGCCAAGCCTGGCTAGTGGCACCGCGACTGCTCGCCAGTAGTCGCGCTCCTCCCGCGGCGCGCCCCACGTGGACGCCGCGCGCAGCTATATATAATGGCCTTACCCTTGGAACCTGTTGGATCCCTGCATATCGTTGAGCGATTCTCGAGAGTGAGGCGGCGACTGCTGCGTTCCATTGGTGTTTGCGTGAGAGAGAGAGAGAGAGAGAGAGCCCAACCAAGATCGCGAGGAGATCGGAGGATGTTCGTGGAGAGCTTCCGGGTGGAGAGCCCACGGGTGCAGTACGGCGACGGCGAGATCCAGTCGGAGTACCGCTACGACACCACCGAGGTCGTCCCGCCGGGGAATGGCGGCGGCGCGGGGTGGGTGGTGCGCCCAAAGTCCGTCACCTACAACTTCAAGACCAGCACCAACGTCCCAAAGCTCGGGTGCGTCGCGTATACCCCAGCGAACCAGTTGCCCATGCATGTATAGATCGGTCGATCTCGATCGACCGGCCGGTAGCGCCCAGCCCTCTCCGTTCTCGTTCAGAGAGTGATCGACGATTGCGATGTTCTTTCTCGATTTTATTTGTTGTTGGGTTTAATTTGTTTTTCCCCCTATAATTACTTTTCATTTCTTTTGTTGCTTCGGACTTCGGTCGAGAGATCTTTAAGAACCTGAACCGCTTTGTTCTCGATTAGCTAGTCATATCAGCAGATCATCAGTTCATATTTACTTCCTTCCGTTCCATCATATATGATTGATTGTTAATTGTATCGTTTCAAATATGATGGATGCAGGGTGATGCTCGTCGGATGGGGCGGCAACAACGGGACGACGCTCACTGCCGGGGTGATCGCCAACAGGGAGTAAGTTCCAGTAGCTGCATGCCATTTCCATGCTTGTTCCATCGCACATTTCTCTCGCTCTTATCAGATCCGTGCATGCAGTTAGTTGGGTGAGAGGACTCAACAGCTCCATCAGCTGATGACGAACTGCGATTTCGATAAATAAATAAATAAATAAAACCCTCCTCCGTATTGCATTGTTTCACGTTTCAGATGGTGTTTCTTGCAGAGGAATTTCGTGGGAGACAAAGGAGAAGGTTCACAAGGCCAACTACTTCGGCTCCCTGACCCAGGCTTCCACCATCAGGGTCGGCAGCCACAACGGGGAGGAGGTCTACGCGCCTTTCAAGAGCCTCGTGCCTATGGTGTGATCCTCTCCCTCTACACTTCCTCATCACTCGCTGCTTCACAATTACTGATACTAATTCCAGTTACATGCACAATCCATGAATGCAATAATACAAAGTTTGTACAGTGCTCTATTTATTAATTTCTAGTGCATGGATGGTGCTAGTTAACTATCGAAGCAAATCAGGATCCTAATTAATTACCCAAGCAAATGAGAATCTGAATTAGCTATGTGTTATTTTCCTCGATCTGTTAGTTTTTTGTGCTGCTACACTATGATATTGATACCCATTCCTTTCTTCAATGTTTCTAAGTTCAAAAAATTGTTTGGATGGTAGTTAAAAATTACCAAAGCAAATCAGGATCCAAATTAATTACCTAAGCATATGAGGATCCATACATAATTATGTGTAATTTTCCTCAACAAAAATTATCAGTTTTGTTGTGACACTGTGATACCCATTTCTTTCTTCAATAGTGATAATGTATTGCTTGAATCATGCAGGTTAACCCTAACTCTATCGTCTTTGGTGGATGGGACATTAGCAATCTGAACATGACCGACGCCATGGCCAGGGCCAAGGTCCTAGACATTCACCTTCAAAAGCAGCTCAGGCCATACATGGAATCCATGCTGCCACTTGCCGGCATTTTCAACCCAGACTTCGTTGCCGCAAACCAAGGTGCCCGTGCTAACAATATCATCAAGGGCACCAAGAAAGAGCAGGTGGAGCAGATCAAGAAGGACATCAGGTACTTAAATCCTTAAACTCAAAACATAGAATACTGTCACAAGATATAGAAACCGAAACCCACAATGGTGAATTCGTTGTCTCAAGAAAAATATTAGTACTCCTCTTTTTCCGAATGAGGATTGTTATGAACTTAATCATGGGGCCGGTTCGTGAACTATGTAGGGAGTTCAAGGAAAAAACCAAGGTCGACAAGATAGTTGTGCTATGGACAGCAAACACCGAGAGGTATAGCAATGTAATTGCTGGTCTTAATGACACCATGGACAACCTCTTGGCTTCGTTGGACAAGAATGAAGCAGAGATCTCACCATCCACCTTGTATGCAATAGCCTGTGTCTTTGAAGGTGTTCCATTCGTCAATGGAAGCCCTCAGAACACATTCGTGCCTGGTGCGTAGCGCTGCTCTACAAAATTCTACATGTGTATCCAGTGTTGCATTCCTCGTTCCATGCTTGTAGTAATGTTCTGTTCATGCACAGGGCTGATGGAGCTTGCCATAAGAAAAAATTCGGTGATAGGAGGCGACGACTTCAAGAGTGGGCAGACCAAGATGAAGTCTGTATTGGTCGATTTCCTCGTTGGGGCTGGGCTTAAGGTACCATCATATATACTCCTTGTCTATTGCTGGGAGCCTGGGATTAAGATGAATTGTCTTTGACATTCAAGAATAATCGATCTTTATTGGCATATCCGATAATAAGGTGGATTTTTTTTTGTGTTTGTGCTGTTGTAGCCCACCTCAATTGCTAGCTACAACCACCTAGGAAACAATGACGGCATGAATCTCTCTGCCCCACAAGTCTTCCGGTCTAAAGAGATCTCCAAGAGCAGCGTGGTGGACGACATGGTTGCTAGCAATCCCATCCTCTACAAACTCGATGAACATCCTGATCACGTAATCGTGATCAAGGTTCGTTGACTAGTTGTTTGTGTGACGGGGTCTATCCATGCTACTTTATGTTCGGTTGTTACTCAAAGTTGATCCCTCCTTTGCAGTACATCCCCTATGTGGGTGATAGCAAGAGAGCTATGGACGAATATACCTCCGAGATCTTCATGGGTGGCAAGAACACCATCGTGCTGCACAACACCTGCGAGGATTCGCTTCTCGCTGCACCGATCATCCTTGACTTGGTGCTCCTAGCTGAGCTCAGCACTCGTATTCAGCTCAAGGCCGAAGGGCAGGTAATAGATGACGGACCAGATTAATCTATGCTTCACTGCATAGCGTAAATGCTGCACTAACTAATGTGTGAATGAAAATTATTGACATCGTTCTCCCTTTTGCTCTTTGTGCAGGATAAGTTCCACTCCTTCCATCCCGTCGCCACAATTTTGAGCTATCTCAGCAAGGCTCCTCTTGTAAGCTTTTCATTTTGTTTGCAATTGATACAATTTTTTTTGTCATCATGTTTATATTGGCCTCTAAAAATGGAGTATCAAAGAATTTAGAATCAAAACATCATGATTGTTTTTGTTGTCTATTAATGCATGTTATCAAATGGTTTATATTAGGAACAGAGAAAGTTGGTAAGGCAATAGTAAAATATGAGAATGTACGTTCGGAAGTAAGCCTAGCTCAACCGGTTGGGTAGAAGGTGTGGTCGTGCACCCAACCACCCAGGTTTAAGTCCTCTCTCGGTTTCAATTTGGGGTCTATTTTCTCTTCTTATTAATGAAAAACGCCTAGTCCCTTCTGTGTTGGATCTAATTTTGAGAATGTAGGTAGTTCATAACTGCAGAATTACAGTTAGGATTCTCCTGCAGTTTAGTTTCTCAGAAAGATTTATAATGTATTCACAATTCAATGTGTTCATGAAATTGATAGTAAATTGGTTTCTTAAATAGGTACCCCCTGGCACACCAGTGGTGAATGCTCTGGCCAAGCAGAGGGCCATGCTGGAGAACATCTTGCGGGCCTGCATCGGCCTTGCCCCTGAGAACAACATGATGCTTGAGCACAAGTGAAGAGTTTCACATCCCCTAATGACCACAAGATAGGATGGATGCAAAGGAGGGATCAAGCGAAGGTGTGCGAATAATCTGCCTCCTCTGAGCCCAATGAAGAAATAACAGGAGGCCACAGGAAGGAAAAGTGTAAGGAGGAAGATCAAGCATGGATGATGCCACAAAGATTCTCATGGAAGGCTATCTGTTCTTTCTTTTTTAGATTTAGATTTGACTCATTTTTGGTACTCATGAGCTAGATTGTGTACTTGCTATCCACTGTATGCAGCATGAAACCTTTGTTTATTTGTTGTGTGATAGAGCTTATAGAAGTATCTAGCCTAATTTTTTAAACTCTTAGTTGATTAATATTTTTAATTGATGGTTGACGAACACATTTGATATGTAGTAGATGATAGAGATATCAATGGGGCTTGATTCCTAACGGAGAATTCCCAATGGAGGCAGGGCCAATTTTTCGCCATGGGTATTCAAACACATGGATGGTTCACTATCCTCGGTCCTAAATCCCCAGTGTCTCCGTCCTATTTTTCATATACGCATTATGGTGTGTTTGTTGTGTCTCTATATTTGTGTTGTGTCAAATCATCAATTACACCTTATGCTAAAAAAAGTAAAACTTACTTTTATATTAAATTCAAATTGTGATCTATATTCTGTGATGTATCGATATGAGGACGAGAATCCTACATGAATTATTTTCGGTGTTGGAATATGGATGGGGACGACATCTCTGCTGCAAATTTCAGTGGGAACAGAGACATTGAATTTTTCTTCCTGCTTGGACAGAGATGGGAGGCATTTCCCAACATTGATGAATTCCCTATTGGCATCGTCTCTTAGAAGTTAGAACCTTCCTCCCAGAACCAAGAAAGGCTCGCTGTCAAAAATTGTAATAGAAAAATAGGTCAGACAGAGAGCCAGCCGCGTACCGAACAGGCAAAAGTATGGAACTTCGGAAGAAAGTGCAGATCTGTATCTATTGTAGGGCCAGCATGGCAGCATCCGTACCAGACATGGCTCACGAGTTCGCCTACAATTACAGGTCATGCCCTTGGTCAGTTGATGATCCACCTTTGCTTATAAGCTCGCAGGGCAAACTGATACGAATGCTGAATGCAGAAGGGGATGGTAAATACAGTTGCCAAAACTACGGTATATTAACCTTTTTAACTTTGCAAGTTACAATCAGTATTGCTTATGAATGTCCAGTTCCTATCGACAGGCTCATGCATACATGCCATTGGTACACTGGCAAGGGCAACATCTAAATGCCCTATATTTTCAAAGCGAAACCAAAAATAAAAATGCTGCGCCAGTACACTAGCAAGGGCAACAGGAAGGAGCTTCGCTACAATGCTGTTGTCCATTGGCTATTGGCCTGCCTATTGATCATCGAGCACGGTGTATGATGCTCATGCATAGGCCCTGAACGTTCCAGAAATCACCACATAGCTACACTTCTAGCAGTATAGGACACTGATGGGGCAACCCGCTTGGCCGCTTGGTGTTGAGCCTCCACAAAAAATGAGCTTCTTCTCTGCATGCAGTCATCTTATCTTATCTTATACTATAACTCAAATTTCATGTCCGGACAATTGATACAACAACGGCTATGTCATCCAGTTTGCCCCCACTGAAGCCAAGGTACCCAAACGACAGAGCAGCATCTGAAAATGGGCTTCTCCCAGCTCCAGACCTCCCTACTTCCTGGGCCTTCGCAGCCAAGTGTTCTGCAATCTCCTGCAAGTAGAACAACCATTGCAATTGAGTCATTTTGTTTCGCATTGGACATTTTTATTTACAAAGATAGTTGATTCTGACCGCTGGTTTTAGATCTGCTGTAACGACTTGGAGATAATTCCAGCTATTTCATGCTTATATACATTATCAAAAAGGCCATCAGTTGCCGTCACAATTGCATCACCTTCCTTTAGATCAATAGTATAATTCTGAAGAATGAAATATTAGCCCAAACCCATATTTAACTATTCATGTGGTTGAATACGATTACCAGGGTTGGTCATTATTTGCACCTGTACAAGCTTTAAGGGGTCATCTCCCTTCTCAATTTGTAGTGGGAAATTGAAACCATAAACCATAGGTTTAGACTTTTCGAACACTTCTCCATTTCTTATCACCAAAAACCCAGAGTCCCCAATATTTGATGCTTGAAGGACCTGTAACATTGACAAGTGCAGTGAGCACCATGAAAAAGGTCAATAAGAAAAATGGTAAAGTGTTCATAAAAAAAACAGACCTGGCCATCAAAGTGAGCAACTAATACAGTGGAAGAACCAGGTGAACATGCTTCATCTGCTGCTTTGGAAAGAATTTGCTCAGGTCTAAGATCTGGAGCCCCTTGCTTCTCAGTAATGAACTTTTTACAACCATCCATTAGTTCTCTTGCATAAAGCCCTGCGTTGATTCCTGAGCACAGAATTTACATCAGCACTCGGTGTGTTTTCCAACTTTGAAATTTTGACAAATAAATTATGGCTGGAGCCTTAAACCCTTGACATTTTAGAATTTCATTCTCCTAGAGTATGATGCTAAAAGCAGCCTTCAAATCCTTAATTGATTCTATAGCAAGCAAGTTAGGATCTTTTAGTGTAATACAGTAGTTTTTTTGTGGGAGGAAGTATATTCAAGGACATAAAATTGTACTGGGTTCAATACCAAATCAGCCTTGGTATTGAATTTGGCCACGATTCAAATTCTGTTGTTTGGATGACTATTAAATTGGTTTTTAGAATCCTATAAAGAGGCGTTGGTCGTGTGGAAAAGGAGAAGGACCACTGACCACGGGGAAGAAGAAGTGAGGGGCTCGCCGACCTTCGGCCATGGAGACGAAGAGAAGGGCTCGCCGACCGCTGGCCATGGGGAAGAAGGGAAAGGCACGCCAGCCACCGGCCATGGGGAAGAGGAGAAAGGCCACCAGCCATGGGGAAGAGGGCGGGGGCAGCACATTGGTGGAGGCGCATTGGGGGCAGCACATTGGTGGAGGCGCATTGGTGGAGGCTGTAACACCCTAGTGTTAAGCATGCATTGGGCACTTGCATTTCATGAGCACAAGCATCATCCAAGCATTCATGAGCATGCGCATAAGAAGTTTCATCTCATTCACTTTATCTTTATCACATGTGATGTTGCTTATATATATATATATGCTTGCCATTGGGTGTGACCATGAAATAGTTGTGAGGTCACAAAAACACCTTAGACATGTCTAGGATAGTACATGGAACAAGTTTGGTATTCATGACTTGGACCAAAACAGCCCCCAAGTCATAGTTAATCTAGGAACTCCAATTTTCATGATCCTACTTTGACCAAAGTTGAACTATAGCATAGAGTGTTTGCATGCCAGTGCACCCTTAAGCAAAGCTGTAGTACTTGACTAGAGTAACAACTTTTATTTTTGGGTCAAGAGCTAATTCAGTGCCTAACATGGTCAAATAGGGCTCACAAGAATTAACAAAATACTGTTTTCAACTTAGAAAATTTTGTCATGAACTGATTTTCAGTTTCGATGTACCATACTTTGAAGCTTTGCAATTTTAAAACCATGACGAATTAGATGTTACTCCCTAAAGCAAAGTTGGAGTTTACATGTAGCTCTACAACTTTTGGTAATGAAGTTTTTGCAAAGAACGAACGGATTAGGAGTAAGAGGTGGATGAACTTGCGCTGTCAGTCGTTTCGTCAGGGCAGATGGCCGCGGATGCCGCGCCGTCAGTGGCCGACCGGCCACAGGCCGTGTGCGCCGCGTGGCGGCCGTACACCGGCGATGGCCCGGCCAGTCAGGCCGGAGCGTGCACAAAGGTGTCGCGCCCCTGCTGCTCACTCCACTCGCCCGCTCTCACTTCCTCCCTCTCGCTCTGCCTTGCCAAAGCGGAGCTCCGAGCTCGCTGTGTCACCGCCGCAGCCGTTCGCCGTCGACGTAGCTCCACCGGTCAATTCGTCTCGGCCACAGCTGCTCCGCCATCACCTCCACCTCCTCGAGCCACCAACACCACCTCTCGAACCAAGGTAAAGAGGCGTTCTGCTTCGCCGTAGCCGCCGTCGCCACCGGAGCGCCGCCGTGCTCTCGACTCACCGTAGCCCGGCCGCTCCACCGCATCCTCTGCCTTCCTCTTCTCTAGTCCGGCACCACGATAGGCTCTAGATGCTCAGGCCGGATCTAGGGTAGACGCTACCGCCTGGTTGCGCAGGAACGCGTCGCCACTCTACGCGCGGCCGCCATGGCCACCGTGGCACTCGAGCTCGACGTTACCGAGCTGGTCCATCGCCTCCCTCCTCTCTCGCGCGTCTTCGGTTGAGTAACCCTAGACCTAGCGGATGGCATGACGGAGACCTGCCTTTCACCGCCGTCTAGCCGGAACGGTGGGAGCACCACCGTGCTTCGTGCGCCGCCGCGCGACCATGCACGCAGTCGGAGCTCACCGCCGCCTCACCGCAACTTGTCATTTTTATAGAGATGGCTATACTTATCCAAATGCCATGAAATCTGTACAGTAGACTTTTGGGGACATATGTAGGCTACTGTAATTTTCTCAGAATTTATTGTGCACTTTTGAAATAATTTCCTTATTTCACCTTAGTGTCCAAATAAATTAATAAATACATTTAAATAATTTATTTGGGTTTGACCATTATGTTTTCTAGAGTTTGTATGATGTCTATGAACTGTTGGTACCCTTGTTGTGTCCAAATTTGATTGCTTGTATGCAGTGAAATATTAATTGCTTACAATTCAATTATGGTGACTGTTCGGACAGTTTCGGTTATTAAGTAAATTGCATGGGTAAAATAATGTTTGCTGTGAATCTTGTCAATAACAAAGTTGTAGATAATTTACTTATCTTGTTTGTGTCAAATTTTCATAGCAATAGGCTAAATGGTTTGAGAGTTATAGCTGTTAGAAGTTGGTCTCCAGAATGCTTATTCTCTGAAATTTCTGGATAGATCTGGGAAATTACTTTGTTTGACCTTGATAG